AAAAGGAAAATAATCCGCAAGAACAAACAGAAGTTTGATAATGAGTTTTTACTTGACAGTCATCACTAAGCTTTAGACCCAACACTACTGTATGAGTAGAGAACGTGAAAAGCGCTTTCAAGTCTTAGAGAAAATTTTAGTTTTTGTTTGGAGGGTAGAAAATTGATAGTTGATATAAAGAGACTTTAACTAGGATAATCGTAGGCAGGGTAATTATAAGACTAAATGAATAGTTGGAGCGAGTATGTAATTTTTGATTTGCACTTCCAAAAATCACAAAACAAAAAACTTGATTGACAGTGTTTATTATGAGCTCTACTAGATCTATGCCTGGGGATGCTCTCAATTCCTCCAGAATATGAGAGTAGTTTGCCTGAATACCATTTGTACGTTTATATATGCATTTACGAAATGTGAATATTCATTAAAGATCGTAAGTGATGTAATTAAAAATTGATTAACTTCACAGTATAACATCAGACTTTTGGAATCCTCAAGTTTTCGGTCTAAAAAAATGTGGTAACTTGGAAAGGAAAAGGAAAAAGGTATCGTAACCGTAACACAAAATGTACTAAAAATTTATTTGCTTTTTTGTTTGTAATTTGAATCGGTAAAACGATGTTCCATAAGGTATCTTTATATCTCTATATTTCTCTTTTTCTCCTTTTTTTCTTCTTCTTCTTCTTCTTTTTCTTCTTCTCCTTCTATTTAGCGGAGATATTATTATTTATATAGATACATAAAATGTAATAAAAGTAATAAAAAAAAAAACTAAAAATAATACTAATTTGCGTATTTAAATATAGACTCAGTTTTATTCGCAGCATAATTCTAAATGGTAGAATCTGATTTGATTTGATATGATTTTTGCTGCTAAAAATGCCATACAAAAATATATAAAATAAAAACATAAAAATGTAAACGCAAATACCCACAAAATTACAAAAGCAAATGGTCAATTCTCACAGGATTGTTTCCTTTCAGTTTATAGATATGTCCGTTTAGATTTTTACGTTTTGGAGGTCTAAAACTAATCTATATACTGTATTTTAAAAATAAAGTCTTGTAACGCAAAATCAAAAGCAAAGCAGAACAATACATTATTAATGAATTTTCGGTACACATCTTACTTCCCACCCCTAAAAGATATGTAGAGACCTATATAGCTCTGTACTTCTTTTTTTTTTCCTTCTTCCAAAAGAGTCCCTAATTGGACTGTACCTTACTACTATTTCTTTTCTTCTCCATTTCTAAAAACACGCACCTATAGACGGTAGCTATACAGTGTAGCTCGTAAATTCTATTCGAGCTATAGGGATAGTCAAACTAATAGACAATAGCGTCTACAAATACTACAATGAACCAAAACCAAAGAGGTGTTTACCAACCAAACTGTCAAGGGCGTTATGGAAAAATGGGAAAATGATTTTGCATGTAAAGTATTTTGGAATATATCATTGTACTTTTATGCTTTGATGAAAGCATGACCGAAAAAAAACGGAGGAAGATACCTTGAAAAAAGTCGCAAATAAGTCCCAACCGACCTAATTCACTTACTCCTAAGCATGAGCATGAAAAGCGCATTCAACAGATAGTGAAAACAAAAAAAAAGTCTCATAACTTTGTGCCAAAAACCTCATTGATTCTCTGACATCGTAGTTTGATGGCTTTAAGATCCCAAAATTTCAAATGAACCACCAATTGAGAAATGAAATACTCATTTCAATCAATAAGTCAACCTTCAACCGTAAGGGAAGAAACTCTGGTGATAATCTGCAAACGAGATATAGAGGGGCTCATGAAGAAGGAAGAATAGGGTTTGGATTACACTAAGATCTGGATTTTTACCGATAAGGCTGGATTTAACATCAACACGAGAAAATCAATTGGGTTAGATGAGCTGTTAGGAGCACCTATCCCAGTAGAAATTTTTTTAAAAAAAAGTTCTCCATCCCAGATCATTATCAGTACTATGCATTGCTCTAGTGTTATATATGCTATTATGAAAAAAGCCAGCACTTAAAAAGGAAAAGGTAAAAAAAAAAAACAACTCAAACACCGGTCGGCAAAACCTAAAAGAAATAAAGAAAGAAAGTTTGTAGGAGGTAGAAAGCAAAGATCGGGCGACATTATTATTGAAGACCCAAACATAGAGTACTAATGTCGAGGAGAGTACTACCATCGAGAAGGGAAAATCAATAGAAAAGGGTACAACTACTGCTCATTTTGTAAAATTCATGAACGGGCTTCTTAATAGTATAGGCATGAACACGGACAAAAGTCTTATATATATAGTTCTTGGCTATTACAAAGCTGAATTAGCATAGGCGACTCCAAAACGTTGCAGGTTTGTCCTAATGTCTATTAAAACTATCAAAATCCCCAAGATGGTTTCTTCATCTGGTTTCCAGAGTCATGGTAAGAAGTCATAAACCCTGGTTTTACTGTGCTTATATCATACTACATTTTTATACTTAGATTCTAATATTTTCTTTTTCTTTTTAAGGTTATATCGCAAAGTTTATATGACCTAAAAAACACCTGGGACTTCATTTTACATCATGACTAAAATATATGGAATTATCTTTCCAAAGCATATTCAAGAATTGGATCCATTTGTAAGGAAAAACATTGAGCCAATAGTCTCTTTATACAAAGTATTTTGGATGAACTGCAAATCAAGACAACATGGAAATTAACTAAAAGAGTCAGAATCTCCTGCATTTGATATAGCTACCATTCAAAGTAGCAAAGTATGAAGAATTGGTACATGAATCATTTAAGGAAGTGTACTTTCAAGTATTACTAAGCTGCTATATTTCTTCTTTAATTTACTACCAGTCATTATCTGTTCATTCTTATTGTAACTGACGGACAATATTTCTTTCTTTTTAACTATTTTAGCTAGTTATTATGTGTATGTATGTAGCTATTGTTCCAAGAATGTTAATATTAATTAGATACACCGAGACTGCAGGGAATAAATCCGTGAGTTAAAACCAAAGTATTAGAGAGGTGTCTTCGAGCCTGAATTGCAAGCGTTTGCAAATTTGTATTTTACGCGGCGAATTAAATTCCAATATTTGTTTTGCAAATTTCATGGTGGAGGCCATTTAGTGAGCATTTGAAGCCAAAAATTAGGGAATCCCTAATTTTTGGCTTCAAATGCTCACTAAATTTCTAGTAAAAATTGAGCTTATTTTTCTCACTTAAAAACAAAATATATGATAGCCAGGAGCCTCTTATTTACACTTACTTAATAGAATAGGCCTCTGAAAGTCAAGTTTATTAAGGTCTATTTGCTCTAAATCTCTTAGTATTAATGTTTTCAACGTATAAATCTTCATAACTGTGTCTGAGTTTTTAATATCTTTGATTGAGTTTTACAGATAATTATTTTTTAGCCGTCTTGGGATTATCATAACTTGGCACCTTCTCTATTATCAAAAGTCATATAGTACTCTAGTGATTTTTACAGTCTTATTGATATAAGTGTGGCTAGATTTAATAAATCTGATTTAAAATTATTGCTATTTCTGGGAGTGTCGCAGGCGCTACCAAAAAAATGAAAAATAGACTTTTGACGCATAATTTGATCGCTTTAAAAGATAATATGCATGATCATAATATTAAAAATATAGAATATATATTATAAGGCTTAAGAGGTACGCCTTTATCTGTTATATGAGCTATTCACATGAAGTGTCTTTGCAGATAGCCCAAGATCTTGTCTTTTTTTTTTTAGTGCCGAATAATGTACTTTTTTGAAGGAAAATTGACAGAAAATAAATAGGTGATATCTCACAGAAATTTCAATTTTCCATGACATGATTCTTAGATGTCGCTTTAATTTCCAAGTTCTTGTTTAATGCTCTACTAAAATAGTATTTAATCGCAGAAGTTCTGTGAGAAATATCTCCAATCTTTCATTAAAATTAAAAAGTTAGATTTATTCTCCAACTAAATATTGGGTGCTTTTAAACACATATTATAACATTTGAGATCCTGGTATAGACTGTCAAGGTCATGAAATAATCAATCATAGTTACCATCATTTTTGGCTATATCCTTTATAAACAATGCAGAAAAATATGTCTATAATAATGGTGCTAATAAAACCAGTAAAAACAAAGATTTTTTTATTAAGTATATGGTATATTATAATTTGCCATTGGAAGTAGTGTTAGTGTTGTGAATAGCCTTTTTTATAGAGAGAGAAATGCATTACTACTGTTATCCTCTTTCAAACAACATTTTTTGTACATCTTTGGATTATTAAATATATTTTTCGCTTTTATTCAGATTTTATCATGGGGTATACAGTGTTGCCAATTCTTTAGGAAAATGTCTGACAAAAGACCGGTTCATTACAATGCGACCCACACTCTTCAAGATAAAGAAACATATTTATCATTCTCCATACTTTAATATATCATCTTGGTATATTCTGGTAGAGGTACCTATGTAGGCACACACACACAGGAAAAGAGAGATAGAGATAGACGGAAAGAGCCTGCATGTGTGTATGCGTGTATGCGTGTATATTTGTGTGTTGGTGTGACAAAGAGCTAAACCTGGTCTTGTTCCATCAATGATCCTGATTCTTTAACTTAATGGAAGGATATCCAAGTAGTCCTGATTATATATTGAAAGCACGTTTTGTCAATGAACGTTATCTTTTGGTATTTTCCAAATATTACTCTTTCTCTTTCCCGATCAAGTCCTCTTCCTTTCTTTGTTGTTGTTGCTGTTGTTTCTGTCGTTGTTGTTGGATACCTATTTCACCCTCAATATTTGCCTCTTTCTTTATCTTGTGCCTATGATCTTGATCTTGTTTTGGCTATTATTATTAATATTATTAATATTATTATTGTTCACATAAACATCTATTTTGTTGGCTAATATTCACTTGAGGTGATCCATACATTATTATTATTATCACTGTTATTATTATTATTATTATTATTTTGGTTCAAGTTCGGAAGCAACCGTAATTTCCCTTAGCCTTCGTTATTACTTGTATCCGGAGTTGTTGATCTTCGGATGTCACTGCGTTGGTCAAATGAATATCTCCAGTTGTTGATATCATGTGTTGTCAATTTGTTTCCAGGAGCACGTTCGTCATTGAGCAGATCTTGGATTTTCATAGTCTTTGCGTTTTCTTTAAATAGTCTTTCGGTGAGGGTGATGTCTTCTTTGGTGAGCTTGGCCATTCGGCCCTCGTGAAGTGCCGACAGCTCTTTTGGAGACAAAGGGTGGTTGTGATATTCTTCTTTCTCGTGAAGGCTTCTCAAAAGATAGTACTTTTGATCCTTCTTTCTAAAAGAAAATCTCAGCAAGTACGGACAGCCAACCCGGCGAGTCTCGGTGGATCGTTTAACGTTCTCGCCCCCATCACGCCTTCCTCTGTATGTGCCTCCCTTGGCGCACTTGAGATGTAGAATGGGAATCTGACTTCTGGCAGTGACAAGAACAAAATTGTTTTCAATGGCATATGTTTTCATTACATCAACAACCTCATCTTTGTCCTTCATTCCGTCTTTTGGAAATGCGGACGAGGCACTCACAGCTGGATAAAACTTCATCCCGGTTAGAAGATAGGTTTAATACAAGAAGCTTGATCGCTTTTTCTTTGTTATTTGTCTTCTTTGATTGACTTGGTAGTTAAAATGATAATAAGTTAATAAATTATATTGATAGATGTAATATTAATTTATAGTATATTTATTATTATTATAATTATTATTATAATTATTATTATTTTGTGGTGGAGGGAGGAGACAGGAGAGAGGAAGATGAATACAGGAAAAAGGGAAAAGGGGTATTTCGGTCTTTTAAAATTTCATCTTCATGGATTAATTTTATGATCTTTTTCTTTTTCTACACTTTTTGGATCGATCCAATGAGCTCACTGAATATGGTTACAATATATCTATTGCCTTTTGAAAACATCACACAATCCAAACTAAATAATTGAAGGTGGATTATGAATATTCAAGTAAGCTTATATAGTGGAAGCACTGTAATTTTGCTTATTATTTAATGACCCCAACTATTAGCTTAATGATGTGCCTGATTGCCATCGTTTTCTTTTAAAGCATAGAATTTACAAAGGCATCAAACATGCATACTCGAGGCAAATAGGCGCCCTCAATAGGATCGTATTAAGAAGAAACTTCCATAATATATAAAGGGTAACCCGTTTGTTTAGGTTTATGAAACTCTTTTATATTTTTATGATTTTCTTGATAGCTAGAAGTTTATTCGTGTAAACCTAAATGTTAATGATATGCCATTTGGCCCTTATTTTTTTACCTAATTTTCTATTGTATATCTCAATTGAGTACACAATTGCCATTGTGCGTAATATGTGCGAGGTCAATTCATTGGCTTACTTTAATATTATTATTGTACGGATGGCAAATACATTATCGGCAATGAATAACTCTTTTCGAGTAATTCTTCTTTGTCAAGATGATAGCCTTTAACAGATTTGACTCGAAGAGAAAAGTAGCCATATTTAAGATCTGATTTCCAATCTTTCTTTAGAGAAGAACTGTAACTTATGTTGCTGTAACCCTACAAAGGTAAACGTATAAAAATTGATGGTAAAAAGGGAGTAAATTAGAAAAAAATATGGTTTAGTTTTCTTTTGTCTACAATAGTAAAAGGATAGGAAGAAATTGAAGTTGGAATATAATACAAAGAAGAAGAAGAGAAAGAGAATAAAGTACTATTTGACCGAAAATTTATAGAAAAAAAGCACACACACATACACCCTTAAAACCCCTCCACAAAACATCACTTTTTGCTATTTTCTTTACCATGATTTTATTCTCATCACTGTCAAAGTTCGTAACGTCTTGGAAGAATCTTTGAGCGTATTCAACCTCTCGTTTCCCAAGTTCCCATGCAAAATGTTTTGTCTCGCCCTTGCATATGTGATACCAGCTTGATCGTATAGGCTGTTGCTGGTTGGTCAAGTCTAATTGACTAACATCGATGTTATCCTCTTGTTTAATAACAAAATGCTTTACAAAGCCACGATATGTTCCTATACTATAGAGGATAAGTGTGTCCAACTGGGTGTACGGCATCTCAATAAAAATCTCCCTGTTTTTCGTAGATTCAGATATCTCAAACTCAACATGTTCTAATTTCATGAATAAAAGTTGCTTGCAACGGAAGGATAAATATTTAAAGATTGGCGTGGCCGTACGCAGATTATGTAGATTTAATCTTTGTAGAGGGTGTGGGTTGTGATTTGGCTTCTCAGAGATGCGTACTGAGGAAAAATGTATGTCCAATAATCGCAATGATGGACATTTATCTAGCATAACGTCGATTTCAATACCACCGACGACCATGAAATGTAACTCGACCAGACATGGATATAAAGGTAATATACTCGGAATCTGTCCTTTATATGCGGGATTAACAGATTCGTGACCAAAATCTGCCCACAAAACCCTCAATGATTTTGGACTAAATTCAACGCAACTGTGTAAACTTCTTGTCCAAGCTCGGTCCCAGTGGATAACACGAATTTTAGCTCTTTCAACGTTTACGCCAAAGTGCCGAAGAGTGTCGTAGAATATAGAAAACGGCCAAGAATTATAATTTAACGGATCTAAGCTTATATTCTTTAAGCAAGGAAAGAATTGATCGAGTGTTGATAGTAGTCGTATATCTTTTTCATACGTTTTTTCATAGTAAGCTTCGCGCGTTCCATAAATGGTGCCATTGTTTTTAAATTCCAGATGGTGTAAATTTGGGTATTTGAGCGCAAAGTAAAATACCCAGGAAGTGTCAATTTTATCATTATCAAATATTGCTTTTGTGACAGTACGTGCTGGTAAAACATGTCTTATATTATTCACCTCGTAATTCGATATTTTTATGTGCGCGAAATCAATGTTTAGATATTCCAGTTGTGGTGCCTTTAAGTGGAGTAATTCGATATCTAGCCACGAAACAGTGTTCCTGATATCAGAACTCTCTAACAGGTACTGATGGAGTAATGTGAGGTGAATAAGATGAGGTGATCCCGATAGGCTCGTAAAAACATCTTCCAATACAATGTCGCTTTGACAATGAAAACGTATTTCCAGATGCGACAAAAAATTCCAGATACTCCAATCAATTATCTCTGTAAAACTGCGGCGTCTATTTGGTTCATAGTATTTAAGACGTTTTATTCCACTGTAATTTTGCCGTAGTTTTGGGCGATATTCCATATCGATAATTGATCGATCAGAAAGCCTTAGCTCACATACTCTATGCGCGTTATTTAAATATATGTTTTCCAGGTTGGATGTATCGCAAATGCGATCTGCTATTATCTGGAAGATACCAAAGGAATACCAATGTGCGTTTAAAAATGGTTCTGTCCACTGTTTACAGACTAAGGCTCCGGTAAGTCTGCTATCATTCTCAACATGTGATGCGATAAGGGATACAACTTCGTATGGCAATTCTGATGCCATTGCAACTAAGGGAGATAGAGAAAAATAAAATAAGAAAGAGAGAAAGAGAGAAATAAAGGGAAGGGCGTATTATAAGTATCAATGATCTAAAATATTTTATCCTTTTTAATATTTTTTTTTAAAAAAAAAGTCAAAAAAGAAAGCATTGTATACCATGAAACGTTGTACATCTTTAAAGTCATGGCTTTTGGGTACGACATCAATTGCCTCGGACTTTTTTACCTTGATCAATGCCCAATAAAAACTTGTTTAAAATTCTGTCATCATATTTCCCTATTTTATAAACAGACTGCGCATTCATATAAGTCTTGATAGATAATACACGATTTTCAATAATCAATAATCAATAAATATAAGATATATATTTATTGGTAAAGTACTATTTTGTGGCAGCATTCATCTTGTTTATCTTTTCAAATATTTAGAGTGTACGCTTGTTCAAATAATATACAATCAGTATATTATTTGAACAAATACAAAGTATACTGTAGCCTACTTGTCTTGGTTTATGAAACTCTTTCATATTTTTATAATAATCTTGATGGCTAGAATTTTACTCGTGTAAACTCAGATACTATATGATGTACCATTTGGTCCCTGATTTTACCTAACTCTCTACTGTCTATTTCAATTGGACACACAATTACCATTGTATAAATGTGCGAGAGAGTCAGTAATTCTCTTATTAAACTTAGATTTGCTTCTGATATATCGTATTTAATTATACCTTTCTGTTTTCCTGTTAAAATTTATCTGACAGGAATTCAAACCGAGTATCTGACATTTATGTTTTACGAAGACGGGTAAGGCTATATCATAAACGTCATCTCTAATGGGAGAACTGTTCACTCGGAATAATACATTTCTGAACTCACTTTTCTTTCTTTTCTTTTTTTTAAAAAACAAAAGGTTAAATCTAATGCCAATTCACTCAAATTTTGGAGCGCTGAAGTCAGAATAGAGTCCTTACAATATTGGTTTATCGAGGCCCGTGTATAAACATTTAACAAAATGAGTATACAGACCCTTTAGATCCTTTCGGATATAGATAATCTCATACCTCACTAACTATAGTGATCATTTGTTCTACTTTACCCAGAAAGCATAATACTTCGCTTAGCTTTTAACTCTTGATAAACTGACCAGAATTGCTCAATTAGATTCAACTCGGAAAAAATACAAAATAAAATGATATCGAATTCGATATTCTCAAGAATAAATATACCTTTCTGTATTAGTTGATCTATGAATAAGAGAAGTGCTTATTAATTAATACTTGGCCTTACCATTGATATCCTACTGAAGTGATCTAACATACTGTAGGTTATGTTACTATCCTTTGGACTTGTGTGTGTGTGTAGGTTAAACCTGCCTAAACAATAAATATTACTCCACTCTATTACATGACTAGCATTTTTCTGTTTTGTTCCGTTAGAAGCCATATATATTCATCCAATGAAAAGATATTCGTAGACAGAGAGAATTCAGTATAAAAGAAAAGCAGATAACAATTCTCCTTTTTCTTCCTCATCTTCTTATTTTTGAAAGAGTTTATTGAATTGTAATACTCATTTCTGATACTTATACTTCTTTCATTAATCATATAGGATTCATGGGCGTATAGAAGATCCAATAAAAGAAAGTACAAAAGTACATTTTGCAGAGATATATTCAAATAACATTTATTTAAATATGCATGTTAATTTACCTAAGCATCTCGTTAATTTGTCCCTGATAATAATAACAATAGTAATAATGTCATCTCAAGGGTATTGCCGGTATCGGGTTGATAGCAAATCCCTGAACAATGAATCGAGACTTTTTGACAAGTCTTTTTCTTTTAAGCAGATCTATCTAATCAAATCCTTGTCACTGAGAATAAAATACGGTCTACCTTCAAGCCAAAGACATTCAGGTTACAGCGATAAGTCCATTAAGTGAAGACAGTAAATAAGAAGAGCAACCACAGGGTTATTTCAAGTTAGAAAAGAGAGAAGATCGCCTCAAATTATTTCAAGAAAAAGTGTAAACCATCACATAATTTTTGAAAAGGTACACCAAAACCTACACCCACATAGATATGTGGATATAAATATGTACGTATATATATATATATATATATATATATTAAGTATTCAATTTATTTATTTAATATAAGCAAAGCATATAAGATACATGAATATTCACTTATATACTTGCCGAGTAAAGAATAAAGAAAAAGTACATCTCATAAAGAGTATTGAATTGGAATACGATATATAGAGCCACACTGTATATATAAAAGGGTACAGAACAGATATAATAAGCCTAGGGTAATATCCCGTAGAATTTTCATACACACATATAATGATAATATTACTGATACTAATATTACTAATAAGCAAAAGATCCACCTCTGTCTGTCTGTCTGTCGGTCTGTATTGTACGTCTGTCTACCTCTATTTCTCTATCTCAATTTCCATTCCTGGTGACTGGGGAAGGAACACAATTTCTCTAGTAGATATATGCTTTTTTTTGTCCAGTTTTTCATTTAATTTAATTTCTTTTTTCTTTTTCTTTCTCCTTATCGCCCTGCTTTATAAAACCAAATAAGAGGAAAAAAAACTATAAAGCAAAAGAGAGAGAAAGAGAAAAGAAAGAATGGGGTCATTGAACAAAGAGAACAAAAGTACACCAGGGAATGTCCAGGGTCAAAGTCAAAGTCAAAGTCAAAGTCAGAGTCAAAATCAAAATCAAACTCAAGGCCAAGAACTTGAATCGCAACTACATGCCGATGATTCCATGCCTATCCGACCATCTCTAGACCAGAATATCGACCAACAAATCGCAGCAATTCTCGTCGTTGGTTTCCATCACGCATATGGACCCATTGTTGAATTTTGTTTACCGCCATTACCACAAAGCGATCACAGTCCTGACAATTTGGACGATGCTAATGGCTTGGGCCAGAACCAGACATCACTAGAGAAACTAGAACTCCCAGAAGAATGGAGCTTTTTACCTTTTCTTGCTTTACCAGGTAATAATAATAGTAAGAATAAGAATAATAGTCTTAGTAGCAGAAACGTAGCCAAAAAAGAAAAAGAAAAAGAAGAAAAGAAGAAAGGGGGTTTATTTGTGATATGATGTTGCTGACATATTGAGTGTCTTTTTTTCTTCTTTCTTTTTTGGTTGTTTGGTGGGTCGGTTTTATAGATGGAGCTCATCAAAAGGATGAGGATTTTGCCTATTTTCACCTTCCACCTGTTCCAGGATGGTCTGTGGCGGAGACTACTTTATTTGGCATATCCTGCAATAGACAGATACCAGCAAAGGTACGCTACATACGTATATTTTATGAATATAAAATATCAATATATACGAAAAATGAATAAAAGAAAGAAAAAAGCATGGAAAGAATTATGATTGAATAAAAATGAGGATCTGATTATTATTTTTTGTTAAATTTTTAAGGATCTTCTTGTTACAACCCCTGATATTACAAGATCCATTGTTCAAAAGGCAGTAGTTGTTTTAGCACGACAGGTAAAGTAAAACAAAGCAAAAAGTAAAAGAGAGATGTTGTAAAGAAGCCCGTGAAATTGATACTCACACAAATATATATATATTACTTTAATTTGGTAATGTTGGGGAAAGTAGCCGATTTTTGGACCTCTGCGACAAAAACTTGCAGTAATTACGGCCGCTTGGTTCAATCAAAGAGATTTTACACAGATTGGAATATTATATGTAAGATTATATATATAAAGGATTTGCAATATTGCGCTGGACTCACAGACTAATAAATGCATATGTTTGCCTATTGTGTGTACAAAGAATTTATACAACAGTTTAAACAATACCTTTTATGGCCCAATTGACGATTCAACACTGTACATGGGTGAGAACTCATAAATAGGCGAAATTTGTGTATCCTATCCTAGCCTATATTATACTAGATATCTTACATAGACTGTTGGATGCTTTGTAGGAACATCTCTACGTGAACTTTTGCATAGATTTAAAGGAAAGACTCTTATGCTCCTCAAACTATTGCTACTAGAGAAAAAGGTAATGATCTGCAAATAAACCAAAGAAAAAGAAGAAAAAGAAGAAGAAAAAATTATAATTTGGGTGTACTAATATATCAAGAGGTCACCATAAGATCCTATTCTATGGTTATCCTGTAGAGATTCTATGCACCTTTCAATATTCTTTGATATCTCTTATACCAGGTAAGGTAGTCGGTCTATCAGACATGCCTCATTTATTGATTTATCCATATATGCAATCGACACCTATATCTCTTATTTATCTATCTACTTATTTTTATTAGGGTTATTACGCTGTCTACAGGATGCTGGGGCACCCGATCTCGATACTGCAGAGAGTACATTAGAAATTACAGAAGCACGTGAACTTGCGAATGGCACCAAAGAAAGCTTATTACGCTATATGGGACTCCCTTTACGTATTTTTGAAAAAGTAAGGTACATACGAAGAATGTATTGGATTTGATATTGACTTTTTTTTTGTAATTGGAATTGCAATTGTGTGTATGTGTGTGGGTGTGTGCAATCGTGTGCATGGGATTTAGGGTTCATTCTTTCAACCTTATTTGCCACTACAGCAAATTGAAATGCTTTCATCCGAGAAAACAAGATCTTACCTTGTTGGCACGACAAACCAAATATTTTTTCGCCATAAAAATGATACCAATATTGATGTACTTGTTAACGTAAGTTTATTAAAGATTCCAAGCTTTTACATATTTATATATAATTTATCTATGAAAAGAAAGAAAGGGAAGCTCATGTTACATTTTTAAAAGGTTGAGACCGGAACCATAGAATTTTATAATCAACAACTGGCATCTGTTGTGAACCCTACTATGGCTGATCGTAGATGGACAGAGAAGATTGTCAAGGTGGTCAATAGTACCTGGGATCCGAATGGTAGGACTAAAGTTTTTTTTTGGGTTTACATGTTTGTTAGTTGTCTTGTTATATATGGGTGAAAAAAGAGAGCAAGTATATATATATATATATTGAAGACTTTTGTTATTGTGAATAGATCCAGCAAGACCACTCAAAAATACGTTTTATGGATCGGACGATTATTTGAGAGCACGTTTTGAAGAATATGTGCTCTCGTTGCTTTCCAGTATGAAACATGCACAGGCATCCAGTAATTTTTCTGACAATAGCAGAGGAATGCATCATTCTGACTCTTCATCTGAAGAGGTTATGAGAGATGATGATAGAGGTAGTCTATCGTAGTCTATTGTGATTTATTTAGCTAACAAGATGATCAAATAGAACGGAACTATCTTTCAGACTATGGAATGTCGTGGATAATGGCATGGCGAGAAACGAACAACTTTAGAATTTGGAACAAATACACAGATCATGAAATATATGAGATTGTAGAGCCTGGGTAAGATTTTTATTTTTATTTTTATCTTTATCATATTATATATATATATATATATATCTTATTCTTTAAGCATTGCTTTCTTTATTCTGTAGTCATCCAGGCATGGGAAATATTTCTATTAACGATATCCAAAATACACTGTCAAAGTAAGAAGAAAAACTAGAGAGATTGTATTAATAGTGAGTGGTAGTGGTAATGGTAGTGGTAGTATCTTTAGCTTGTGGTAAAAGAAAGAACAAAAGAGGGAGGAAACCCAATTCAGTCAAGATCAATTGGACAAAAACTTTTACTCTTTTTCCTTCCTTTCCTCACATACCCACATACCCACCTACCCACCTACAACCACTTCTCCCAACTTTGTTTGATTCTAGTCGATTGAAGGACCTTCAGCTGCGACAAAACCTTGCACCGCTAAGGCAGACCTTCTCCAAAGCAATGTCTGGTGGTGCAAAGGCTGTTTCGACAGGAAGATCGAGGTTCTTAAAGGGTATGGATGCCTTGTGGACAGAATTTGAACGCGGACCTCAAGATGAGATAAATAATAACTCACATTACACCAATTCGGAATCAGGTAAGAGATATAAAGATAAGATATATGGGATATATGGATATAATATATATGAGCTCTTGAGGCAATTTGATTAGTTGGGGGGTATATCTATGTGTATATAAATAAAGAAGAAAGAATCTTGTTTTAATGATATGATATTATGATATGATACGATATGATATTATGATATGGTGATATGATATGATATATACACACACAAACGCAGATACTGTGCTATCCCAACCAATAACTCAAATTAAACGTGCTAATGAAAGAAACGACGAGATAATACAAGTAAATCCTCCCTTGCTTGAGTCTACGTCTCAGCAGGCAGGTCGTATATTATCAAGTTTTTCCTCTTTCTTGAGTCGTAAACAAAAAGAGTTTACTCAGGCTATGGATGTAAGCTTTATTTTTTCATTTATATATTTTATAAAAAAATACTTTTTTTGTGTATTTTATTGTTAATTAAAAATAATAATAACAATAATAATAATAAACCAAAATGCTGATTTTACTCTATGCTATTTCTCTCTTTCTCTCTCTCTTTGCATTATTACTATTAGGAATCTGTAGCTGAGCCTGGTAGTTCTGGTAGAACCAACAGAGACGTAATGCCAAGAGGTGTGTCTCGAGCGGAATCACCAATGATATCTGCTATTAGTGATGACGACAATACATCTGCATTTGTAGATGTCGGCGCAATGTACCCTTTTACTCTGCCTCATCCTATCCTGAGAGAACCCACTGGCTCTACTGTAGCCAGCAGCAGACAAATGGCCAGCAGCATAAATAGTGACAGAGGAGCGAGTAGCGGAGAAACAACAACAACAACAACAGCAGGAGGAGGAGGAGGAGGAGGAGGAGTTGGCACTTTTGGAAACTCACCTGACCAGGCTGATGAGGGAAATGAGCGGAGAAGATAAAATGCGCCACATTTTATTTATTTTATTTCACGCACATGCAATAAAACCAAAAATTTTCGAAAAGTTTGCGCTTCTTGTAAACCAATTTTGAATAATGTCCGGAAGACAAGGTAAGCAGAAAATATACATACATAGATACATAGATACATAGACACGTACCAATATGTCTGTTCTTGAGTACAACAAAGTGTATTCTAGATATGTATACTGTTATTTCTACTTCTCCTATATATATATATATATATACTTATTGTAGATGATCTAAACCAAACTTTAAAACCAACAAACAATAATATAAACAAATAAAAATGTAAATAGGTGGAAAGCTTAAGCCTCTCAAGGCCCCCAAGAAGAAGCAGTTTGATGATGAAGACGTAAGGAATCTTATTGTGATGTCACCACTGTTGTAAAAGAACCTCGCATCTCACAATCAATGTAGGATGAAGATCTTGCTTTCAAGAAGAAGCAGATGGAAGAAAACAAGAAGTTGAAGGAAATGCAGGCCAAGGCTGCTGGCAAGGGTCCTCTTCGTAAGTTGATTGATCATTGCATGATCATTTGAGATTGTTGCTCTAAACTGATTTTATTTATTATTTTTATGTATCATTTGCATCTTACAGTCAGCGGTGGTATCAAGAAGAGTGGAAAGAAGTAAAAGACCTCCCGCTTTCTCTTCTTTTTACTTTCTATTGGCTCTCTGTAACCTTGTCTCAAATCCCACATTTTATCTCAATACATAAAAGAAACTGATCGTGTTTCATTATCATCATTACAATTTCCATTGATTGACATTGACATTATCATTATTTACATTTATATGATGTGTGTTATTGTTTGTTTGTTTATTCAATGAGTTGAAATTATTGATCAAGTAGTAAGCTTATTGTCAAGTGTATAAAGAAGAAAAGACAGAACAAAGGAAGGAAGAGTTTCTCTTGTGGGTATTATATGTATATATTTATATATACACAATTTAAAGTATGTCGTGGTTTAAGAGTCTTTGGGTCGTTAATAAAAGAAAAGAAAAGGAAAGATTAGTTGAACATATTTAGATGCGTAAAGAAGCTGGCATAATATATTTAATAGGAACAAAATCAAATATCTTAAAACATGTTATATGTATGTGTATGTGTGTATATATAATTAGACTATTCTTATCTAAATTTCTTGCAATCGCACCCAATAAAGCGTATTGGATTATGATTATGTATAGCTCTTGTAATATACAAAAGGCAACAGAGTGAATAAAATAGAGATAGATAGAAGGAAAATGATAAGAATCTACCAGATATTGATATCTGGTAGACTAGGGCCTTTAAGAAATAACAGTACTAAAGCTAATAACGAAAACATTGAGCAAAGATAATATATATCTTTGCTCAATGTAAAGCAAAATAAACCTTTAATTCATATTGATTTAAGCTTATTTATCTTATTTGTAATTTATTGGGCAGATTGGGATATGTACTTTTTCAATAAAATACAGTTTCCATTTTTGTCCCCAAAAGAGACATACATACATTTACAAAGAAAGAAAGAGAATGTGGGAGTGGTTTACATATACATATACCTACATACTGTATGATAATGCTAGGGTAGTGTGTAAGATCATTTGATCATATCAAGACAACCAACAACGTACAATTGAAAATAGCCAACCCCATTTACTTGATTACATGCTTTTGCTTATGTATAGATGTATAAACGCATACTCTTGAGTAATTGGGGGGCTTGTCTATTGTCGAATAAATAAATTAGAATTATAGGGACCCGTCGATAGTATAATGGTTTATAGATTGTATAAATGTTGATCATTAATAGAATATGCTATATCTGTCATCCAATACTTTATTTATTGGGGAGGAAAAATAATTTGGTGCTTGAGCTTTAATCCCCAAAATAAATATAATAAAAAAAAAAGCCTACAAGACCCAAGGAGGGTAATATTGAAAATAATAATAATAAATGTTGTTGGTTTCTACTGTGAGTCTCATTGCCTCAAGATGGCATAATTAATATGCAACCGCCAAAAATAATATTACTGATTACCTCATCTGGTCGACTCATGATTATTATTTTTATAGACAATACTCAATAACATTTTACAAGGGACTATTAATCTTGGTTGAACCGAGTTGTGTAAAGAAGTTTTATAAAAGAGAAAGATATTTTATGTGTGTGTATGTGAATTACTATTTTCATAAAGTATTTTGTAGGGTTTTCTTGTTTTCTTGTTTTTCTTTGGGCTATTGGCACAACACAGAGAAAGAAGCTTTTTTTTTTTAAAAAGAAAAAACAGTAGTTCACATTCTTCTTCTTCTTTTGATATTCTTGTTTCGTGAATTGTTTGATCTGCAATGCCTTTGAAAAGGTATTAGTGTATTGAAAAAATTATTTTAATTAAAGAAATAAATAAAAAAGAAATACCCGCCTTTACTAAATATCAACTCTTGTGGACAAACGAGAGGTTGTACGGATGAAAGGAATATAAAGCCGATCCGTACAACAAAAACATCAACAAGAAGCGTGAGAAATATTGAGAAAAAAAATTGAATATTGAATATTGAATATTATTACTATTTGTTGTTGTTGTTGTTGTTTATTTTTTTATTTGAAATCTTGTCAATATTTTGGTTGCTTTCTTCTTTTCTACTTGCCAAAGAAAATCAAGTTTTAATAGCAATTTTATTATAAATATATATATTATTAATCAATCACTCACTCTGTTAATCAATCAATTAATCAATTGGTCACTCTCTTTACCTATTTTCTTTATTGTAAATAAAGCTTTGATTTTAGATCGCAAGCTAAAGGTCATCTCTTCAAGACTACTGCGATAATTATTCAACTAAAGAATCCCAGTTATTCATTTGAAAACAATAGCACAAATTCACCATTGAATAGCAAAAAAAAATATGATTGATTTTTGAAGAGTCAAGAGAGAAGGGGTTGTGATACCAAAAAAAAAGGGTAAAGAACTTTTTCTGTGTCCATTCTTGTGTTTGATATTAGCATAGTTTGTTCCGACCAAGCAAGGGGTGTGGTACAGAGTTCTTGTTTATGTTACAAGAACCATATACTTTTTCTTTACTCACTTGTCCTTTCACTCACTCACTGTCTTTTATTTTTATTGGTTATTTTCGTACCATCAAAAGATCGAATATACATATATCTTTATACCTTTATACATTTATACATACTAATGCCAGAACATTCATATATATAAGATAGTGATTTGTAAACCTAATATTAGTGCTATTAATATTGTCTTGTGTAAATAAAAAGAAAGCTATCAAATCTACTATAAATACAAACAACCGTTCATGACTGGCTAGAGACCATCTCGATAAGATAAGCCCCCCCGCATTTTCTCTTTTTCATCTCTTTCCCTCATTTGCTCATTTGCTCTACGCTCACAGCTTATAATCTATATATCTCAACCTTGTACAAAAAAAAAACAACAATCATAAGAATTACTTTCACACACTTCATTATCAATACCATACCATACCACACCACACTACACTACACTACACTACAACCGTACATTACTATACCATACCGTATAATTCAACCAATCAACACAACATAACAGGCAGCACAACAAGCAGCAAATAATAAGAATAATAATAATAATCACTCTACTACATCAACATTCACACCACTGTTCTGTACGCATTTGTGCATAATTATATCTATATATATAGTCTGGTCTTGTCAGAATCCACCGTCTATATTAACTTGACAATGGGTCACTCCTGTACTCCTGTCCCTGTGCCTTTTGGATCTGTTTGTTCCTTCTGTGGTCTGGGAGGACATATTGCTTGGAATTGTCCAAAGCGCCACAAACCACGTTAATCAAAAACAACGGCAACATACATATATACACAGCCACAAACTTATAACTACAGTCATTACACTTCCACATGTCTTTATCTTATCCAATACTCTTTCTTTCTCTTTATCTTTATCTCTATTTTTTTTTCATTTTAAGCCTACCTATCTACTTGCTTATCTACTTGCTTATCTATTTGCCTATCTACTTGTAATAAGCAACAAAATAATAATAATAATAATAACAAAGACCTCTTTATGCTCAATCTTGGTTTATTCAAATATACATGTTTTAGTATTTTTCTTTATAATTTATTTCTTCTTCTTTTTAATCAATTATCCTTTTTTTTTTTTACTTAATTATTTCTTTCTGCCCTTTATTTTTTTTATAACCAAATTTCCCTTTGTATATCCCGTCTTGATGAATTCAATAAATCAATTTAAGAAAAATCATATTTATATAAGGATATTAGTTTTATTATTATTATTATTCATATCATGTAATAATAAGATACATTATAATTAGCTATTATATTGCAATAAAAAAAATGCAATAATTAAAATTAAAATTACAATTATAATTATAGTTATAATAACAATGGCAATAACAATTCAAAACAAACTTTATATTCATATAGTTTATAGTGCAACTCGGTCCAAATTAACCTGCTCTCGAATAACCTTTACTTGAGCCGCCTTGAGCCAAGCTGTGGTAGAGTCTTGGAGACGATGGTTGATTTTGGTGTCAAGATCGGATTGGATTTTGAGCTGGTGCTCTTTAGTCAAGAGCGTGGCTGGATAACTGAAACTCAAGAGCATCATCTGGGTTTCCTGTTTTGGGGTATTCTGAGCAGCAGGACGAAGGGCATGCTCATTTTTATGGTCATCAACATTATTGTGGACAAGGACATGGCCATCTATCAAGATACGGACGACATTTAAGCAACGCCCACCGAGACAATTTGTGCGGACCTCCCATTCGTCCAATTCAGAATCAAGCGTGTCACTATCTTGGTGAGAAGTGTAGATGACAGGGTATTCCAATGCCCAACCTGTCAAGGTGACCATGCATGTGGGAACTGTTGGTAAAAACAAGATGTCTCGAGGTGGTCGGTTATCCAAGAATGGCTTAAGATTGTGGGTAAGCCAATCAGTGAGCTGACTGGGGCAATCTCGCTAATAAGAAACATATTAGATACATATAGAGAACTAGAGAGAATAATAATAATAATAATAATAAAGAAGGAGGGGATGAAGAAGGAGGAAGGAGGAGTAAAGAGGAGTAGGGGGAGTGTAAGAGGAGTGGAGAAATAGAAAAAGATTGGAGGGGTTATTGCGGACTGATTATAGTCTCAATTGATCTTTTCTTACAAGTACAGGTTGTTTGCCTTGTATGTCGATATACGCAGATGTGTCTTTTGCCAGTGTAGTCTCGTAGTGTTGTCTTAACCGCACCACGTTAGCAAAGAAAGTAAATCGATCTCCAAACTGGAGCAAGACAAGGTCTTTGCTGTCCGGATTCTGAGTTTAAAATAGAAATAAAATAAAACCATAATTTAGAAATTTAAGAAATCAAAGTCACGCCGGGCGATCATTTTCAAATTTGTATATTTTATAATACAGTACAATACAACAGTATATTATAAAAAATATTCTTATTCTTTATTGATCGATCCACTCAACTCTTTTCAACATGTCGAGAAGATCCCGAGAGCGATCTAATGGAAGATGAAGATCTACGAGATGACTTGCTCTAAAATTAATATTAAACAAATAAATTAAATACATAAATACATGGCTCAAAATAGAGAAAGAATAGAAAAGAAAAAACTACATTTAAACTAGCTTTTGTTTCAAACAGACAGACAAACAAACAACCAGAAAAACTTACCTACCTATTTACCTATTTACCTATTTACCTATTTACCTATTTACTTACTTACCTAAGTCCATAGGCAACACATGCAATAGCTATAATAATTATTATTATTACATACATATTTATAAATAAAATATAAAATATAAAATAAAACAAGAAAAACAATAAATAAAATAAAATAAAAGGTTGTAGATAGATATAACTATATTGTATTGCATTGTATTAAATACCATTTGTTAAGGAGTCGATTGTGCCAGGAGCAAGCTTGAGATATTTCAAACTTACCCTGAGGGTTGAGTGGATATGGTCTAGCATCAGTGCACGTGGGGTCTGGAAGATTATTGTACAAAAGTTATAAAGATTTTATAAAAATAAAAAGGGGGTGTGAACTGGGTTAGTGAATTGAATAATTGAATTGAATTGAATTGAATTGAATTGAATTGGATAATTGAGTTGAGTGGGCGAATTGGTAGTGGTGGTGGTGGGGGGTGTATTTGTATTTGTATTTGTATTTGTGCTTGTGCCTGTGCCTGTGCTTGTGCTTCTACTTGTGTTTGTGTTTGTGTTTGTGTGCAAGTGTAAAAAAAAAAAAGGTAAAATTTAAACTGAAATGTATAAGGGTAAGTAAGTGGTTAAGTGGGTGAGTGAGTGAGTGAGTGAGTGAGTGATTGGGTGATTGAGTGGAGTGTACGGGAAGATGAAATAATAAAGTAAAAGAGAGAGAAAAGGGGGGAGGGAGGGGAAAAATAACCCCAATGGGGTATTTTACTTGTCACACGATTTTCTAATTTATATATGTCTTTGCTGTCCCCCTTCCCTTCCCCTTCTTCCTCCCCTTTCTCTCTCTCTCTCTCTCTCTCTTTCTTTCACTAATTCTTTTCCTACTTCTTCTCTCTTTGTCTCCCCTTGACCTTCTTTACCTTTAACCCCTCCTACTCCTACTCCTACTCCTTCCTCTATCTAACCCCCCTTTTTTCTCACTTACTTACTCTACTTACTCACTACTCACTTGGTTGCCTTTATTTCATTTTAATTCATTTTTCCTCTCCTTTTTTTCTTTTTTTTTCCCTTTTCTTGTTTCGTTGTCTTGCAATGACCCCACCATTCTCCCACATTCTACACCGTTCACGACTCGTCTTCTCTAAGCTCAACAATCCAAAAAGACCTTCAACCTTCATTCACTCTAGTCATTCGTCTAGCTCCAGCCTATCGCCATCATCACCACCATTAGCACCACTCGCACCATTACTAGCAGCCTCAGCAACCCCAACCGTCCTCTTATCACCTCTACCAGTCGAATCGAACGAAACCATCGAAAATTCACAAAAAGCAATGCCCACCAATGACAATTCGGGACATCATCTTTTCAAACTTGCAAACGGTCACTTATTCGGACGCAAGGGTTACCACAAGTCAGCAGAAACTGCGATTACATATTACCGCAAGGCAGCCTCACTCGGCTGTGCTCCTGCAGAGAGTGTTCTGGGTTTTTGTTACGAATTCGGCTTCGGAGTCACAAAAAACTTTGTTTTAGCAGAAAAACACTATTTAGAGGCAGCAAAATCTCAAGACGGACTCGCTATGGCTCGACTAGCTTTCTTACGCAAATACGGACGCCCAAACGTAAAAATCGACCGTGTAGAGGCCGAAGAATGGTCAGAACGTGTGCGACACTGCCCCAATGCAGTCAAATGGATCGTAGAGGCAGCAACAGTAGATGGTGATGCAGCAGCACAGTATGCACTTGGAGTGTGTTACCACGACGGAGTAGGTATGCCCAAGGACGACCACGCAGCCTTCCGGTGGTACAAAGCCAGTGCAGAACAAGGCAATGCTCGTGGACAGGGTATTCTAGGCTACTGCTATGGCGAAGGCTTTGGAGTCCCCAAAGACGAGGTCGAGGCCATGAAGTGGTACCGCCTAGCAGCTGCCCAGGGAGAAACGGTGGCGATATACAACGTCGGCTATTGTTATGAAGATGGCATCGGAATCGAGAAAAACGTCGAAGAGGCCGTTAGATGGTACAGACTCTCGGCCGAAGAAGGAAACGCATTCGCCCAGAACTCACTTGGGTACTGCTTTGAAGATGGCATTGGCGTCGAAAAAGACTTTGAGCAGGCTGTGTTCTGGTATAAGGCCAGTGCAGAGCAGGGATATCCTTGGGCAGAATGCAACCTCGGTTACTGCTACCAGAATGGGATTGGTGTTCCCAAAGATGACACCCTGGGCGCCCATTGGTACCGGAAAGCTGCCCTCCAAAGTCACGCCAGAGCACAGCATAACCTCGGTTTCTGTTACCAGAATGGCATCGGTGTCCCAAAGAACGAACCCGAGGCAGTCAAATGGTACCGTCGATCGGCCGAGCGAAAGAACATCTTTGCCTACCACTCGCTGGGCTACTGCTTCCAGAACGGAATTGGTGTTGCGATCAACGAGCAAGAGGCGGTCTACTGGTACTACATGAGTGCAGAGGGTAACCATGCACCGGCACAGCTGTCACTTGGTTACTGCTATCGCAATGGAATCGGGGTGCCCAAAAACGAACGAGAGGCCGTCAAATGGTTCCGCCGATCGGCTGAGCAAGGCAATGCACTCGCACAGAACTCACTTGGTTTCTGTTTCGAAGAAGGACTCGGGGTGAAAAAAGACAGTCCACGAGCCGTTTACTGGTACCACAAATCCGCCCGACAGAACAATCCGTGGGCCCAGTGCAATCTTGGGTTTTGTTATGCAAATGGGATTGGTATCAACCGCGACAACACCAAGGCCGTTTATTGGTATAGACAGGCAGCCCTACAGAACCATGCTCGAGCACAAGATAAATTGGGTCTCCATCTCCAGGCAGGTTTAGGTGTTGACCGCAACTTGGATGAAGCGTTTGATATGTTTAAACGGGCAGCCGAACAAGATCATGTAGCAGCCCAATTCCATCTTGCCAATTGCTATGAAAAAGGTCTCGGGTGTACTATCGACCTTCGTGAGGCTACTTTGTGGTTCGAACGTGCAGCGATGGGTAATACAAATATAGAATAATACATTGCATGAATGAATGAATGATGACATAAAACTCACACCTCTTTTTTTGTTTTTTTTTGTTAATTAATTAAGCTGGTTGTCGCAGTTCACACGAAAGACTTCGTCGTCTTTTAGTACGTGTCTGTCTGTTTTCACCTGGATCCACAGTATTATCATCTAATGCAACAGACGATGACCTTATATGCTCAGGATTCATTAGTGGCCACAGTGCGCCGGCCGCCTAAAAAAAACACCAAAAAAAAACAAAATGGAACAAAATATATATTTTTTATATATATTTTATATATATATAAAAAGGTACAATTTTTATTTTATTTTTACATTTACTTTCATTACTCACAACTCCTATCTATTCACACACTCACACACACTTACTCTCATACATATTCTACCTCTACTTCCTCTACTTTCCTCTTTTGCTTCTGTTTCTTCTGTTTCTTCTGCTTCTTTTAGTTTTAGTTTTACTTTTACTTCTTCTACTTCTTCTACTTCTTCTAACTCTGTCCATGTACCTTTCAACCACACTTCCCCTTCTAGCATTATCTTCTTCTTTTTTATCTCTCAAATTATTCAAAATAAAATAAATCAATTGAAAAATACAATACAATACAACACAATGCAATGCAATAAAAATAAATAAATAAATAGGAAATATAAATCACAAGGCAATTGTAATGCAGATGACACTTTTATCACGTGCAAATAGCTATATCACTTCTTTTTCTCTCTTTCTTTCTTTTCTTGTGTGTGTTTGTGTTTTTTTATTACATCTTTAAAACCACAAGAAATATATAATATAATATAATATAATATATATATATATATAGATGGATTTACCTGATAATATACCTGGTACATTTCCCGAATCGATCTCAAAGACCACCATAAGAACCGATTCTTCTTTACTAGACTCTCCGCCTCAAACACCACCACTGTCACTATCACCACCACAACAACAATCACCTCATGTGATGGCGGATCCTGTTTACAGATCCCCACAATTAACCACCTCCGCAGCGGTTCAGCAACGCAGACGCCTCCAACAGCGACCACCCCGAATTATGACGATTGCAGATGAGCGGCCACCTTCCAGACAAGCCTTACTCTGGGGACACTTTAAATATATGACTATTGCCTTTGTTCGATTTGCACTCAAGCACAGTCATCTCGCTCTGCTCATCAATCTTTTCCATCACTCGTGGAATGCACGTTCATTCCTTGTGTCTGCACGACACTCCAGAATAGACAGAGACAGGCTGGGAACCATGGGATCCATGCACCTGGCGTTTGCTGTCCTAAGCGGGCTCACCTTGAGGGACCGTAAAAAGACCACAGAACATTCGGCCCTCTTGGTCCTGACAATTGCTGCTCTGGGACAGGCATGGTCCCATATAGCAACAATAATGAGCTGGACAAAAGGGTTTGGTGGTAGTATTAATAGAAGCAGTAATGGTGGTGGTGGTGGTGGTATGATTAATGGAGGAGGACCCCTTACAATGCAACTTGGTTCATTCTTGGATAGTCTTGTTTTGGGTGTAACTGCTGTAGCATTTTACCAAGCAGAAGGAAACTTTAGTACCTAAATTCACATTACTTTTATTTCTATTATTATTATTATTATTATTATTATTATTATTCTTTTGTTCTTGTTTTGCTAAAATATCATACCTGTAAATCTATCATGGCACAAGTCTTGGAACAAAAAAAAATCACACACACACACACACAGACAGACATATATATATAAATCTTTAATAAAAAAAAATAAACCTGGCGTCAGTTTTTTTCTTCTTCTTGTTTTTTATATTTAAACTTATTTATTCTATTCATTCTTTATTATAGGCTAAGTTGTGTGGGCTAACGATAAAGGAAGTGGTACCATTGTATGATGCTTATTGTCGTTGCTATGGAAATTAATTAATTAATATATATATATATATATATATATATAATTTTATAAACACAATTTTGTGGGGTTGATTTGATTACAAAGTACAAAACTCATGTCAAAAAAAAACAAGTTCTGGTTCTGGGTCTGGTTAGGGTTAGGGTTCCCTTGCACAGAACTATTACGAGTGTGTTGGATACCAAATATATACACACACAAACAGGTATGTATTCATTTACATGTGGATAAGAAAAGTATCTCTTAATCAGAGACAAAGTATAATGCAAAGACAGATAGCTTCTATTGTGTATGTATGTTTATGTATATAGTTCTTTGAAATAAATCATAAGCTCCTATTATAAATGTACACCTTCTTCTGCCCCTCCTATCAGCAAGGATTATATTTGTTCTTTAATATATATATATATGTGTGTGTGTGTGTATAGTATTTCCAGGATACTAGCCTTGGTCTATATAAAGATATTTTGCTTTGTAAAGATACTATATTTCAATGTATATATGTATATTGAACAAAAAATAAATAAAGAGAGAAAGGAAAAAGAAAAGCCATAAAAAAATAAAGAAGTAGATTTTTGTCTTTATACAGGAGAAATTTAAAACTTTATATGTATATATATGTATATATATATTAAGCTTAATTCCATACCCATAATTCAAGATCGTAGGTTTAAAAATAATAACAGGCGTTCTGTCCTACTTGAGATTTCTTTTTTTTTATAGACAATACAAGAAAATTGTACTTTAAATGCTTCTTTGAATTATATGGAATATCAATAGAATATTTATATAAACATGAGTGTGCCCTAAAGAAAATCTATCAGATCGGCTAAAATATTTTAGTAACTATGAAATACATTTGATTTCATAATAGATAAAGATATATAAATGACAGGCTAGGAGATCCGAGGAGATCCAAAAATGAAACCATGCGAGAATTGTATAAATATATATATATATATAAAGGTTTGATCAGATAGAGAATATAGATTGTGGTTATAGATATAGATGTGGACTTAGATATAGATATAGGTTTGTTGAATTGAATGTGTTATCTTGTCTGACCTAAAGCCTATCCTTTTAATGTCCTCTTATTCATCTATAAATATTGAATTGGACTGTATCTAGGTAACTGGATCATATAAAGAGTCAAGCTATGTGTTAATAGTAGCGTAGATACAGGTGTAAGATCAAGTAAAGTCAATTATTTAAAAGAAGTATAAACAGTTGTTTGAAATAGACCTTTTTTTTAAATTTTTTAATTTTAATTTTAATTTTTCTTTAAAAATATATATATAAAAAAATATAATGTAATATAATATAAAAGACTATAATGGTATAGAGGTTTTTCCTTTCCAATGACTCAATCTGATCCGATTTTTTTTATAGTAGCAGCATTAGTAGTAGCCTTATTATTATTGTTGTTGTTTTAAATAAAGTAAAATGGACATTGAACTTAAAGTGGTGCTCTGTGCGTGGGCAAAGAAGATACATAATTACATTCGAGGAAATTTTTTTATGGCCAAATAGAGAAAAATAAAGTCAACAACATTAAACATATATTGACATTATTTTCATGGTTTTGATCCCACAAGATACAGAGAAAAGATGTCATTAAAATATATTTCTTATTAATACAATATAGTATAAAATAGTTAGTCATTAAGAATCACGCCAGAAGATTAGTCCATTACATCAATCAAATATTTTGGCTCATAATCAGTAAGTTTTATTACAAGGACTATATAAATTTGAATTTGATTTTGAATTTTTGATATAGGTGTATTGCAGATAGACATTGAAGTTTGATCCAGACCCTTTTGCTTAATCTATTCATAAGAAGAAAGAAGAAAGCTTCTGGCTTGTGAGATTTTGATTTTTTTTGTAGGGTTCACATTTGTCCACATCTGTCCACATACCGGCTAAAAAGTTAGGCGTGAGTCGGATTCAGCTTCCGCTCATCCCGCCACATCTTCATTCCTTTCTTTATTATAAGGTTCATATTAGAAATATCTTATACTCGACCCTTTTGGGCGATCTTTTTTTTTGTCTCTCTCTGCCTTTAGCTTATGACAAAAACAAAAAAAAGCCGATGATCCGATGAGGGTTCAAGATAGGCAAACCCTTTCCCTTTACTTTCCTTCCCTCCTTCCCTCCTTCCTTTTATATACCAAATCTACATAATTGATAGTATTTTCTATAGATCGTATCATGTACCAAATCAGACATTTCCCAACCAAAGTTTCAAATAAAGAAAAGAAGCAGAAACAGAAGAAAAAGACGAGGATTGTTCCGGAGAGGCAAATCGGATTCCCTTAATCAGCCTCTTTTTTTTTAAAAAAATTATTTATAATAAAGAAAAGGTGTTAAATGACTAGCATTCCGCTATTCTCCATGCGATTTATACAAAAATCATGATCGTCTGGGTCAAAAGAACAATCATTGATCCGATATTTCAACCAAGCATAAAGTAGTAGTAATAGTAAATAGTAATAGGATGAAAAAATAAATAATAAATAAACACTTCTCCGACTAATTATTAGCAGGCTATTCAATTCAATTATGTATTTATACACTCGCTTCCACCTATATCCATTGTCCAAAACACAACTTGGCAGTTCCACCTAATTCCCGGGTAACCGTTTAGTCGCCGTCCGCCTACAGATTTTTTCAATTTTTTTTTTTCAATTTTTTTTTAAAAAAAGTAAATCAGCAGTATATAAACAGACAGGAGAAAATATCAGAACATCTTTATCACATCATACCAGCATTCTTTCATATAACCATTTTCATTCTTATCATTCATCATCATGGCCTTCTTCCACATCCCTTTCTTCCACAAGAACCGCAACGGTATTGTCCCTCACCATGACGAACACTCCAAAGAATCATCGGACCACAAGGACGACCACAAGGAAGAAGATCATTCGAACTCTCACTCTCACTTTCATTGGCACTCGAATCTCTTCCTACTCGCCAGCAACAAGAAGTTCATGAATGACCCTACACGTACCAGTGACCATCCAGACGTAGTTGGTTACTACTATGACCCCATGAGCGTTGGTTCCCACCGTCATCACGGATACGAGTACGACATCACAAACACTGGTGCATAAAAAAATATATTTAGGCCTCAAGCACAAAGCACAAAGCACAAACATTTACACAAGCATTTATAACTACAAACAGACAATGGTTTCTGTTTTAGCCTTACATTTATCTTATCTCATTATCCTTACTACTATTACTCTGTATACTATCTATTAATCCCCCCAAAGGACCCTTCCTATTCATCTCTTTCTTGTACTATATCATACAACATTTTGTTACATACTCTATATATCTTTATACCCTATACTTTATCACGACTATTTTATTTTATTTTATTTTAAAATAATAATAATAATAAAATCAAAACACACAAACACAAACACAAATCATCGTCTTTATTCATCTTTATACATGTATACACAAATTGAACTATTTTATCGTCTTATCAGTTTTTAAAGAAGTATTTTCTTATTTATAATTGATCATTTAATTAATCTAATTCACTTGCACTATTACCCACCCAATTGCTTAATTCACCTTCAAAAAGTTTGTCTAGGTCTTTCATTACAATACGCAATATATCAAATTTAGAAGCAAATGAATTTTTAAATAACATCCCTTGTAAAGAATATATCTACTATGTATTTACTATATGACTGATTGTGTTTATTATTAAATTATAAACAATTTTTTTTTGATTTTTTTTTTAATAATAGAGACCTTGGTGAAATCTTGTAAAATATTTGGAGGAGTTTAAATCATCCGTATAAAGAAATCTGGGTGTGAAAAACGCGAATGTTTGATAAATTTTCTCAAAAGTTTGTCAAACTTGAAAGAAATTTTTCAAACATTGTAAAACATAATAGACCAATCATGTTGTATTATTTCTTTGTTGCTAAACACACGAATAAATTAAGCTTGAAAATATTAATAGTTGTAATTTTAACGTATGCATGTAAGAATATAAGCATCCCTTCAGTATACTTTTCTTTACTTATTTTTTCTCATTATTTTTTTAATAAAGTTAGTATTAATATTTTTGTTCTAACATAATACCAAGAAAAAAATGACTATTATTTAATAAAAGTTAACGAATCTCTCATTAGCTTGATTATATGAAGCAGCATTCGTGAGCTTAGTACTACTCCTTTTCCGACAGGCAATGATTACCAAATGTATACTATGTTTGAGACATGATATTCCGACAAAAAATGTTTGATAGAAATCCATATTTGGTAACTCGGCACCTAAATGTCTCTTATCGTCTCACCAAGGTCCCTAATTTTTTAAAAAAAAGTTTTGCCTGGAAAGCCACAAAAGAATAGAGAAACAAATGCTTGGATTAAATACCAAAAACAATTGGCCAATAACAAAGCAGTATAAGTTAAATTCTGAAACCCCCCTTTTTTCCTTTCTAACTTTTCTTTTTGTCGAATTTTATTATTACTGCTACCACTACTACTACTACTATTTCTTAAATGAGTATATCAATAATAATAATCTTATACTATGTCTATATATCTATAGCCAAGCTCTTATCCAATAATATTACTTGGGTGTCAAATCTTGTTCATTGTCTATATTGATCTGATATCTATACCAAATAAGTGTATCTTTATTAAGATTGCGACAGACTTGAAAGTATAAAAATTTCGAAGCAGTAAAATACATTTGGCTTTAAATAGATGACAGACATAGTAGTCAATTGTTAAAGAAAATTATAAACTATTATATTGTCTCTTTTAATCTTGCTATCTAATTAGTGTAGACACCAGAGTAAAGTATGATGTTTACTAGTCTTTGTACCAAACGATCTTGGAAATAATAATTATATTTGTCCAGAGCTTATGTAGTCCTCAGATTCAATTAAGCCCATCATTCATGCCAATGAGAAGTCATCTTGACCTCGCCTAAAAAAACAACCAATTAATGTGCCTAATTCCATCGATTGTCACCTTGTGTCTTTATACTTTTTATTTGATTGTAAAACTATAATAAAATATGGATTTGCTTTCTAGTGACTGTCAAGTTTCTTCTTGTGCCTGTTCGTATAATTTTTTTTTTTTTACATTTGACCCAAATAAAAGCACAAGCCAGTTTGAAGTAACCTTTAAATCACCGCTTTCGGATTTGTACTCAGACTTTATGATTATATTATATTTTACTGCTACACCGATCGAGACCAGTCCTTTTGTCACTTGCTTCTTTTACATATCTTACTTCTTTACGTCTTTACTTTCTCTTATATATACAGTAATTTGCTCTTCTCATACACTTTTACACATCATTTTCTTCCTTAGAATTTAGAATTACAGTCAATAGAACATGAAAATAAAATATCTACGCCTAATTTACAAACAGCACATCAAATGATAAGAATAAGTAATAATTATCATATGAATATACGCATTTTTATCTTTTTTTTTTTTGCTTTACATAACCAAAATTCTTACGTCAATACTTCTTACATCATCTCTAAATCCTTATTAGTATTATTACTAAAAGACACGTTCGAAGCGATGTCATTTGTTTCTCTCTTCTTGACTTTACACAGTCTTTTTTTATTGCTTATAATGCTTTCCGCTGTTGATTATCAAGCCTTACAACTCATTCGTCATATTCTCTACTTTGCTGCCCTTATGGCCTGTATTCGACTAATAGTCGAAAGTGTCCGCTTACTCGCAAGGGCATACCGAGCACTTTACGCAGTTTTTTCGGGTCCCTCTGCCAATGACACAAATGTGCCTCCTCTTCTTCCTCCAGCGCCAAAAGACAACAGCAAATATAATGCTCAGGTAAAAATAAATAAATAATAAAATAGTAGGTTGAGATATAAAAGAACTCTTTGAAACTGTTTATAGGTCTTTCTTTACTCATAAATAAAAATGAAATAAAAGTGCTCCTTCTTATACGAAAATACAATCTGGTTTGTATGTTTATTATATCGCAATTTCTCAAGGACTTCCTTTTATTATGCTTAGATATTAAGAGAGCTGTCACTACTTTATATCGTGCTTGTGTTACGGTTACTGTATTTTTCTACTAATTAATTTGCCAACTCTGAATGAATGAACAAAAATTAATTATTGAAAATACTGTAGACGAGAGTGGCAATCTAAGAGCAGCAAAAAAGAAATGCGAGAAACTATAATCATTATAATCCTAAGAGGGAATGAAAAGAGGAATAAGGAAGTTGACATACTGCAAGATACAAAAAAAAATTCAAGTTGTACTTTGGATCAAATTGAGAGAGAGGCACATAAGCAACACGATTTAAAGCACCCTATGGGTTTTCTTGATCCCATTCATAATTATCAATTGCATTATTTCTTGCTTGTATACTGTTTTCGAAGAAGATTTCTTAAAGGAGTCAAGTCAATAAGGACCACACTAAAATAATCTTATAGTGCATCTACTTATTTTGGAGCACAGCTTACCAAGGCATACATCCCATTCAAAGAACTCTTTCACCAATGGAATCAGCAGCTCGCTTTCGACAATTTCATAAGCCATTTCGGCCGCCATAACAGTAGCTCGTTCAGTTTGTACATTTTCCTAATCCTCAATTACTAGTAGCCCTTCCTCATCAGGCCCGTTCGTATCAGTATTAGATACTAAAGTAGTGGCATTGACAACGTGACGCGATGCAGTAGTAGACGCTTGCTTGTCGGTCTAGGTGATGGCAGTAATGAGCATGCTTACACTAGACGTACTAGCTGTCGAGCTATTATTTTTTTATTCCCAGACTTGGTGCTTTATAAAAAGTCTGTAAAAGGAGGGAGAAAAAAAAAGGCACTATTAGAACTGTAGTAGCAAAGAATATTATTACAAGAAATATATGTACCTTGTCAAGTTCCCTAGAATACTTCTGTCCACCAAGATGTGATAGTTTAATATCATTGAATTCGCCTTTTGGCTCTGCTACTTATTTTTCTTGCTCAATTTGCTTTTAGAGTTTTTCGGTGTTAATGACAGAGCGGCGGTCGCGGGCGGCTTTAAGTAAGAGCGTATTATCTTGATTAGATTTATAAAAGTGCCAGTACTTTACTACACGGAAAAGAAGTAAAAACCAAGTCACAGAATACACGTGAGTAGATAAAGCAAAACGTCCAAAAATGAGAAAGGGAGAGAAAAAGAAAGGCCTGTTCGTGTCAGTTTAGCGTGAAAAGAGAGTGCATCTTGTTTTTTGTTTTTATAAATATATATATATTTCATTTATTATTATTTTTATTTCAATAATTTACCTTAATGCCTCGAGACAGTCATTTAAAAAAGATCTTGGGAAGCTCTACGTACAATACTGTTGCAAGCAGTAATGTGTTGCTTATTGGTGCAGGTGGAATTGGTTGTGAAGTACTCAAGAATCTGGTTTTGATGGGGTTCAAGAATATATCGGTGGTAAGAGAACCAAAGATGTACACGTCTTTGACTCTCTCATCACATTGAGAGCAATACAAATAATAATATAATATAATAAAATACAATACAATACAATATAATAAGGCTTTAGTTACAATTATATATGTGTATATATGAAAATATAAAATATATAAAAAGGGCAACAAATAAGAAGAAGAATGAGAACATGAACACAATTCTCTTTATTATTTTAGGTAGATTTGGATACGATTGAAATATCAAATCTTAACCGTCAATTCCTTTTTCAAAAAGAACATGTTGGACAACCAAAAGCTCATGTAAGTCTTTAAGAGACATACATTATTACCAAACAAAACAAAACAAAAAATACACACAAATTGAGCCACCAGGTTTATTATCATATTCCTAAACACGTCAACGTCAATATAAACTATGCGAATCAAATCATAATAATAATAATAATAATAATGAAAAGGTGGCAAGAGAAGCAGTGCTTAAATTTCAGCCCAAAGCCAATATCACATCCCACCACGCCAATATCAAAGACTCTCAATTTGGAATTGAATGGTTCAAACAATTCTCTTTTGTATTGAACGCTCTTGACAACCTTGGTAAAATTATAAGAATATATAATATATAATGAAAATTTTATAATTGGATTTCTAGAAAAAGATACATAAAAAAAAGTGAATAGAGATGTATATTATTCTACGATAATATTAAATTATTGATTGACGTGTCTAATCCTATATTTTAGATGCAAGATACTATGTCAATAAAATGTGCTTGGCTGCAGAAATACCATTAGTAGAATCAGGAACATCTGGGTACAAAGGACAGTCCTATATCATCAAAAAGGTAACATTAATTAGAAAGTGATATTTTAACAGCAACAACGAAATAAAGATCCAACATGCCTTCTGTCATTCTTATCTAGGGTGTTACAGAGTGCTTTAGCTGCAGTCCCAAACCAACTCCAACTACATATCCTGTATGTACTATTCGTAGTACTCCAAATGCACCTATACACTGCATTGTCTGGGCAAAGAATTTTCTCTTCTGGTAACCTTGATTCTGTGCGTGTTTATATTGTATGCTAATACCCCTAAAAAATTAAATGTATTATCCTAGTCAGTTGTTTGGTGATGCTGAATTAAGTGATGCAATCAAAGAGGACGCTTCTGATGACAATGGTAAATATTATGTGTTATGTATACAAAGAGAAGGTAGTTGTTGTGCGTGAGTAATCATAAATACTATTGTTATTCTTTAACAGAAGAGTTATCTGAATTGAAGAGAGAGGCTAATGATTTAAAAGAAATCAAAAATGCCATGGGAACAGAGGAATACACTAGATTAGTATTCACAAAGGTAATGTAAATATACCGTTCAATAGAATAAAAAAAAAAGAGGAACTTGGTGACTTTGAATAAATATTACCAAACTGTGTGTGTGATTGTGCTTGTGCTTGTACTTGAGCTTGTGTTTCTACACCAAGGTAAAAAAAATACATCTAACTTTTACTACCACCTTTTTTTTATAGGTATTCACAACTGATATTCAACGATTATTGGATGCAAATATCTCTCGAGGAGGAAGAAAGCCTCCTTGTCCGTTAGATTATGAAACGCTTGATAAACAAGCCAAAGATCCAAAACAAACAGTTGAAAATGAAGATGGCCAGGAAACACTGGCAGACCGAAAAGTCTGGTCTCTTCCTGAATGTTTCCATGTATTTAAAGAGAGGTAAGAGAGAGATAGACGCACAAGCGAACATACTTGAGGACTTGATAATGCTGTTTTTTGGAGCCACCCATTTATACATGAATCTAATCTCTGACACAATGTTTTCTTGTCAATATATTCTAGTGCAAATAATCTTGCCTTGCAGTTGATCGCTCAACAAGCAAACGATCCCAATGCTATGCTTTCTTTTGATAAAGACGATGATGTCGCTATGGACTTTGTCACTTCAGCCTCAAATTTACGAGCTTATGTATTTGATATCGAACAAAAGTGTTTATTTGACGTCAAATGTAAGTAAATATGACGTGGAATATAAATAATCGAAATAATTTACAGTATATAATTCTAACAAAACATGTTTTCATCCTCTTTATAACTTTTATTATTGATTAGCCATGGCAGGAAATATCATTCCAGCAATTGCTACCACAAATGCGATTATCGGTGGTGAAGTAGTCATGAATGCTTACCGTATCCTCAACAATAAAATTGAAAAATCAAAGCGAGTAAGTAAAAGAAAAGGAAGATAAAAAAGAAGAATTTTACAAATAATAATAGAGCATGGTTATTGTTGAGAATGCTGACATTTTCTTTCTCTTCTTCTTCTTTTTTTTGCTGTTTAATTTGTGTAAAAGAACTATGTGGATACACAAGTAGCCAATGGTAGCGCTTTTATGAATGAAGAAATAAGCAAACCAAACCCTGAATGCGATGTTTGCAAATCCAAAAATGTGCCAATCCAAGTCAGCAAAGAAAGCGCAACTTTGGGAGATATAATTGATTCGATTATATTGAAGCCAGTAGAAGACGGGGGCGTAGGTTTTGATGAAGAATTCCTGATTATGGACGGAAACAAGTAAAGATCAAATTTGACTATATATACCAGTAGAATAGTATCATTTGTCTTTTATTTTTGACAATTGCTCTTTATCAATAGGCTTATTTACGATCCCGACTATGATGATAACAAGAATTTGCTATTGAAAGAGCTTGGTATTCAAGATAGCAGCATATTACGAGTTTCTCCTGATGAAGGACAACCTCTTGATCTTATAGTTCAATTTATGTGAGTCTGATAATGTGTGTGTGTGTATACTTAAAGATATATATGCATATACAGGAATCTAAAGAAAAATATTACTTCAAAGATTAATCCAGGCTCATATTTCTATATAAATTGAAAAAAAATTGTAGTGACCCACTATCAGATGACAAAGATATTGTGGCTCGAATTACACCAAAAGATATTCCAACCAAAGAGAAACTGGTTTCTAGACACAAACGTTCTCTGGAAGATGTCGAAATGGAGGAGAAAGAACGGCCCATGAAGAAGCGAGCGACCTCAGAAGATATGGATGTTAGCGATAATCTTGCACGTGAGTTCTGGGCTTCACTTGCAGCTGATAAAGCTCAGGCCGCCTCTAGTATCTCAGAAAGTCAGCAAACCAACACATCTATCTCTGGCGGACCTTCTGGATCTTATGAAATGGTGTGTTTGATTTCAGATGACGAAGATGAGGATGACAGTAAAAATGAAACTAAGGAAGAATTGAACATCTCATCAAGTCAAATCACCTTGGATGAAAGCGATTGGAGAGAGCAGTCCTTTGAAAACTCGGGAGAAAATAGCTCAGATCAAAACACAGTTGTAGTGATATCTTCAGATGAAGAGGATTAAAACTGAAAAGATATATGCTTATGGTTGTGAAAATATATGTATGCAAGATCTCTCAAGTAGACACATACCCTATTAGTTAAAAGCTTTGGTATCGCTTCTCAGTTTTCTGTCTCTTTCTATTCAGTTCCAATAAATCAATGTTGTTTTTTTTAACACAATATCTAAGTTTGATTTTTATACTCTTGTTCTCGGATACGGTTCTTTTGCCTTTTTTTTCGGTTTAAGAAAATGTCACGGCCAATTATAAAGATACTTAACAAAGGGATCGTTTTTGAGCATTCCAAACGTCTTAGGACTTCAAGCGATGATGATACTGAGGAGGAGTCCTTGTCGCCATCTATATCAGAACGCTTTAAAAGACCCTGTACTGAAATATACCCACAGGCCCCAAACTTTTCTTGTGAGGCATATTACAATAATACAATCATACCATTTCAACTTTCAATGCCTTTGAAATTCTCACGAGGTGTTGTTTTGTTTTTTTACGAACGAGACTTGTAAGTAGCAAGATTCTAGAAAGAAAAGCAAGCGGGCACGTAGTCAAATCTCATCTCTTTGTTGTTTTTCTTCTTCTTGTTTTCTTCTTGTTTGGCTTTAGCATGGAACAAGCATCAGTGGATATCAATCAGATCGAGTAAATTATTTGCTGTATTATTCTTGCTTTTGCAAACAAACGAACAAAAAAGAATCATACCACTTTGGTTCTGCTATCTAACAAAAGATATATGTATATGTATATGTATATGTATATATACATGTAAATGTACTTATAGGAATAACCTTGCGTATTTTTCAAGTGTCCAAGTTTTGCCTATTGCTGTTTCTGTAGACACTATCAATAATCATAAGGCATTTCTCGATAGGCCTGATGTTTATGGAATCATAGATCCAATATCATTTCCATTATGCAAGTACATATTCAATGCATAATAGTGCTTTATTCTGATTTTTCTCTGATTTCTATTCGTACTTAGTGGCCGATACTACTCGTTTAATATCTCGCTGTATGGGTGTAATGAATGACAAGACTGGCTCTGCGGAAAGGTGCGCAGCTAGTGAATATTCATTATCACATGCAAAGTAAAATTATTGATTTAGAAATGGGGGTTCTTTATCTATATCTTCTTTTGTGAGAATAGATCAGCATTTATCATTGATAAAGAAGGCTTTGTAATGTACAAATTTAAACCACGTTACGTTGATAAACCAGTGCCTTATCCAATGAACCTAATTTTTTCAAAGGCAAGTCTGTACATTAATATTATCACTATTATTGTGTGTATGAATATATGTACATGTCTATACAATATTTAACCAGCCTCAAATCTATCTGTAATTTATATCCTTTAGCTTGGCTTGTTGAAGTAAGGTACAATGCACCAACCACTTGATTATTGGTCTTTTATTAAATACTTTAATATATATAATATTAGCCCATTGACATTACCACATCCTGTTAATTAAAAGATAATTGGTCCATCAATATTTATACTATTAGAATGTGAACAACATCAAACCTCTTTGGAGAAGTAAAAAAATAAAGTCTCAATAAAAAATATAATAAAATATTGTTTCAAGAACTGGAAACCAAGCAAAATATCTTTACAAGTACTCCTTTTATATTATGTGTACCAGAAATCATTATTACTAATTTTCAACAAAAAGATTGATATACCAAATCTTGCATTTCATTCATTAACAAGTGATATTACCATTTAATACATAATGTACTTGAATATCTGTCTACTTCTGATTTACCTACTGACCAAAATGCAGAATAGCTTCATACAGCTGCAAAATTTATAAAGTAAAGCAATGATAATAGTAACTTATTTGAAACCCCCAATTTGAAAAATTGTGATATTCTTTTATGGCAAATAGCAAATTTTATTAAGAAACGAAAAATATAAATGATCTGATTTGAAAATCGATCGATTGACAAATACATATAATTAACAGATATCAATAAGAATTCTAAAGCTAAAAGTTCAATATAAAGAAAGTCTTAGACGATTCACATAATAATGGAATAAAGTAAGGATATAAACTAATCAAGGTCGAAGTTCTCCAAGTCAGCCTGGGACAAGTAACCCATTTCGAAGCTAGGATACTCAAGTTCAACAGGGCTAAGATCAACAGCAGGAGCACTAGCCTCATAGAGGTAGTCATCAGAATCTGCCATCATACTAGCAGTCTCTTCCTCAGCGAGTCCTCCAAAGAGATGTCCTTTGCCCAACTTGGGGAAAAGGGACTTTTTGTGATCACTAACGACATCTACACCCTTGGAGAGGCCACCAGTAATATCACCAACGACGGGGATTTTTCCGACGAGAGAATCAGCACCCTTTACGAGGCCTCCAGCGACACCACCAATGCTTGGGATGCCAAATGGTAATCCACTGCCAGGGGAGGGAGTCTTGTCATCGATTGCTTCAGCGCCATTTTTAACAGCACCGGTAAGGTCGCCAACGACGGGAATTTTGCCAACGACAGCATCGACACCTTTAGCAAGTCCGCTAGCAGCACCTGAGGCAGCCTTACCAACTCCAGAGATTCCATCACCAATAAGGTCAGCACCCTTCTTGAGGCCACCAGTAACGGTACTAGCTGCATCACCAGCAACATCACCAAGGCCTGGAAGTCCTCCTCCGATCTTAAGGGGGCCACCACTGACAAGATCTGCGCCCTTCTTGAGACTGCCAGTAATATCACCAACGATAGGAACATCACCAACGAGAGCATCTGCACCCTTAATGATATCACCTGCAATGTTACCAACTCCAGAGATTCCATCATCGACAACGTCAATACCCTTCTTGATACTTCCAGTAACACCACTGACAACATCACCAGCAGCATCAGCGAAGCTTGGGATACCCTTTCCGATACCAGGGACATCACCAGAAAGTCCAGGGATACCAATGTGACCGTCACCAAGACCAGATAATCCTTCAGCAACCTTGTCAGCACCCTTCTTGATACCACCAGTAATGTCGCCAACAATAGGAACGTCTCCAATAAGAGCATCAGTGCCGTCTATGAAACCACTAGCAACGTGTTTAGCAGCATCTCCAAGTCCAGAGATTCCATCGCCAATAACGTCTGCGCCCTTTTTGAGACCATCAGTAACATCTCCAACAATTGGAATTCCGCCAACAAGGGCATCAGCAACCTTTGCACCAGCACCAGCAACATCACCAACGAGACCTCCAACACCATGGGCAGAGTTCTTAGTACCCTCAATAGCACCACCAGCAGCACTACCAGCAGATTCTCCGGCGTCAGCAGGGATATCCATGATACCCTTACCATGATGAGGGAAACCGAAAATTCCGTGATGTCCGAGTTTTGGGGAATCAGGGCCGATAATAGGAAGATGATCAACAACCGATTTGGCACCATCCATAACGTCGCCAGCAACATGGCCAATAGGACCGCCAAGATGGGGAAGGCCAAGGTGAGGGAGACCAAGATGAGGAAGAGCCTTATGACCAACCTTTGAGCCAGCATCACCACCGATACCAGGGAGTTTACCAACAAGTGCCTTGGCACCCTTATTGAGATCTTTAGCAATATCGCCAACAATTGGGATCTTTTCAATAGCATCCTCAAGGCCATGGGCTACACCACCAACAATATGTGAAATGGGTCCACCATGGGGAAGAAGACCGTGATGTCCAATCTTAGATGAGTCGTCGCCACCGAGGTGGGGAAGTGCTCCCAAAAGACCATGATGCTTGTGTTTAGGATCAACAATATCACCGACAATGGGAATCTTGGAAACGACAGAGTCAACGCCCTTCTTGAGGTCACCAACGACTGGAATATTATCAATGACATGATCAACACCATCCTTAAGTCCACCGGCAACATGGGTAATTGGTCCACCAAGATGAGGAAGACCAAGATGAGGAAGACCAAGATGGGGTAGAGCCTTATGACCAACCTTTGAGCCAGCATCACCACCGATACCAGGGAGTTTACCGACGACCGACTTGACGCCCTTGTTGAGATCCTTAGCGACATCTCCAACAATTGGGATATGCTCGACGACGTGCTCAACACCATGGGCGACACCACCAACAACATGGGCAATGGGTCCACCGTGGGGAAGGAGGCCATGATGACCAATCTTTGAGCCAGCGTCACCACCGATACCAGGGAGCTTACCAACTACCGACTTGACACCCTTGTTGAGATCCTTAGCGACATCGCCAACAATTGGAATCTTCTCAATAGCATCTTCAAGACCATGAGCTACACCACCAACAGCGTGGGTAATGGGACCGCCATGAGGAAGAAGACCATGGTGGCCAATCTTAGAAGAATCGTCACCACCGATACCAGGGAGCTTACCAACAACCGATTTGATGCCCTTGTTGAGATCCTTAGCGACATCACCAACAATTGGAATCTTCTCAATAGCATCTTCAAGACCATGAGCTACACCACCAACAGCGTGGGTAATGGGACCGCCATGAGGAAGAAGACCATGGTGGCCAATCTTAGAAGAATCGTCACCACCAATACCAGGGAGCTTACCAACAACCGACTTGATGCCCTTGTTGAGATCCTTAGCGACATCACCAACAATCGGAATCTTCTCAATAGCATCTTCAAGACCATGAGCTACACCACCAACAGCATGGGTAATGGGACCGCCATGAGGAAGAAGACCATGGTGGCCAATCTTAGAAGAATCGTCACCGCCGATACCGGGAATCTTACCAAGAACATCCTTAGCGCCCTTGTTGAGGTCTTTAGCAATGCCACCAACAATTGGGATATGCTCGATTACATGCTCAACACCGTGAACTACACCATTAACAGCATGGGTAATGGGTCCACCATGGGGAAGGAGACCGTGGTGACCAATCTTAGAAGAATCGTGACCACCGATACCGGGAAGCTTACCAAGAACATCCTTAGCGCCCTTGTTGAGGTCTTTAGCAATGCCACCGACAATTGGGATATGCTCAACAACATGCTCAACACCGTGAACTACACCATTAACAGCATGGGTAATGGGTCCACCATGGGGAAGGAGACCGTGGTGACCAATCTTAGAAGAATCGTGACCACCGATACCGGGAAGCTTACCAAGAACGTCCTTAGCACCCTTGTTGATATCTTTAGCAACGTCACCGACAATTGGGATATGCTCAACAACATGCTCAACACCGTGAACTACACCACCAACAGCGTGGGTAATGGGTCCACCGTGGGGAAGGAGACCGTGGTGACCAATCTTAGAAGAATCGTGACCGCCGATACCAGGGAGCTTACCAAGAACATCCTTAGCACCCTTGTTGATGTCTTTAGCAATGTCACCGACAATTGGAATATGCTCAACAACATGCTCGACACCGTGAACTACACCATTAACAGCATGGGTAATGGGTCCACCATGGGGAAGGAGACCGTGGTGACCAATCTTAGAAGAATCGTGACCACCGATACCGGGAAGCTTACCAAGAACGCCCTTAGCACCCTTGTTGATGTCTTTAGCAACGTCACCGACAATTGGGATATGCTCAACAACATGCTCAACACCGTGAACTACACCATTAACAGCATGGGTAATGGGTCCACCATGGGGAAGGAGACCGTGGTGACCAATCTTAGAAGAATCGTGACCACCAATACCGGGAAGCTTACCAAGAACGTCCTTAGCACCCTTGTTGATGTCTTTAGCAACGTCACCGACAATTGGGATATGCTCAACAACATGCTCAACACCGTGAACTACACCATTAACAGCGTGGGTAATGGGTCCACCGTGGGGAAGGAGACCGTGGTGACCAATCTTAGAAGAATCGTGACCGCCGATACCAGGGAGCTTACCAAGAACATCCTTAGCACCCTTGTTGATGTCTTTAGCAATGTCACCGACAATAGGGATATGCTCGACGACGTGCTCAACACCATGGAATACACCGTCAACAGCGTGTTCGACACCATGAGCGACACCACCAACAGCATGGGCAATTGGTCCACCGAGAGGAAGAAGGCCGTGGTGGCCAATCTTAGAGGAGTCGTGGCCGCCGGTACCGGGAAGTTTATTAAGAATGGCTTTAGGACCCTTCTTGAGGCCTTCAGCAATATCACCAACAACTGGGATTTTCTCAACACCATCCTTGACAACATGCCCAAGTGCATCAGCGACATGGCCCAGAAGACCAAAGTGATGGATACCGTGATGGCTGACCTTTCCTGAGCCATTTCCATCAATACCAGGAGGCGTAATAAGGGACTTGACACCCTTGTTCAGGTCTTTAGCAATAGGGCCGACAATTGGAATTTTCTCGACAACATGGTTGATATCTTTGTTCAGCTCACCAACAAGGTTGCCAATAGGACCCCCATGAGGGAACATCTTGTTATGAGTGACCTTAGAGGAATCGCCACCGATACCAGGGAGCTTGCCTATAATGGTTCTAGCACCCTTCTGAAGGTCACCAACAAGTGGAATCTTTTCAACGACATCCTCGACCTTGTGAGCTGCACCACTAACGGCTTGACCAATAGGACCCCCATGGGCAAGGAGACCGCTGTGACCAACCTTGGAAGGTTTGCCACCAATTCCAGGGAGCTTTCCTGCAACTTGAGCAATAGGACCGCCAAGGAGACCATGATGACCAACCTTAGAGGAATCACCGTTTAGGCCAGGAAGCTTACCAACAGTGGCTTTAAGACCCTTTTTGATATCGCCTGCAATATCACCAACAATTGGGATCTTTCCAACAACATGCTCGACTGTATCCTTTACATCACCGACAGCGTGGACAATTGGACCATTGAAAGGAGGGAAGCCATGGTGACCGATCTTTGAGGAATCACCACCAATTCCAGAAATCCTACCAACAATGGATTCGGGACCTTTCATGATATCGCTTGCAATATCACCAACAATTGGGATCTTTCCGACGACCAGCTCGGAACCATCCTTAAGCCCATTAACAATGGACTTGGCATCGTTTTTAAGTCCACCAGCGATTGGACCAACAATGGGAATTTTTTCAAATGCATGCTCAACGCCATGGACAACGTGGGCAATAGGTCCACCATGGTGGAAGAGACCGTGATGACCTGACTTTGAATCATCATCATTACCGATACCAGGGAGCTTATCAACGACAGCCTTGACACCCTTGTTGACATCTTTAGCAATGTCACCGACAATTGGAATATGCTCAACAACATGCTCAACACCGTGAACTACACCATTAACAGCATGGGTAATGGGTCCACCATGGGGAAGGAGACCGTGGTGACCAATCTTAGAAGAGCCGTGACCGCCGATACCAGGGAGCTTACCAAGAACATCCTTAGCACCCTTGTTGATGTCTTTAGCAACGTCACCGACAATTGGGATATGCTCAACAACATGCTCAACACCGTGAACTACACCATTAACAGCGTGGGTAATGGGTCCACCGTGGGGAAGGAGACCGTGGTGACCAATCTTAGAAGAATCGTGACCGCCGATACCAGGGAGCTTACCAAGAACGTCCTTAGCACCCTTGTTGATGTCTTTAGCAACGTCACCGACAATTGGGATATGCTCAACAACATGCTCAACACCGTGAACTACACCACCAACAGCGTGGGTAATGGGTCCACCGTGGGGAAGGAGACCGTGGTGACCAATCTTAGAAGAATCGTGACCGCCGATACCAGGGAGCTTACCAAGAACATCCTTAGCACCCTTGTTGATGTCTTTAGCAATGTCACCGACAATTGGGATATGCTCAACAACATGCTCAACACCGTGAACTACACCACCAACAGCGTGGGTAATGGGTCCACCGTGGGGAAGGAGACCGTGGTGACCAATCTTAGAAGAATCGTGACCGCCGATACCAGGGAGCTTACCAAGAACATCCTTAGCACCCTTGTTGATGTCTTTAGCAATGTCACCGACAATTGGGATATGCTCAACAACATGCTCAACACCGTGAACTACACCACCAACAGCGTGGGTAATGGGTCCACCGTGGGGAAGGAGACCGTGGTGACCAATCTTAGACGAATAAGTGACCGCCGATACCAGGGAGCTTACCAAG